CAGGCGCTGATGGCGGCGGCGAAGCAGACGGCATCCGCCTTGAGGGTCACTGCCTGCATCTGGTAGAGGAGCCAAAGCGCCCGCTGCCATTCAAAGGCCTTCTCGCAGCCGCTGATGGCTGCAGCATAGGTAAAGCAGTCGCCCACAGCATCCAAGGGGCGCAGGGCAAGCTCCCATTGGCCTGCCTGGCCGCAAGCACTGGCCAAAGCATTGAATACGATTGCGTTGGGAGGGAGATCGCTCCGGCACATGCCGGCAACAAGTTCAACGGCCAGTGACCAAGAGTCTCGACAGGCACCTAGAGCAGCACTGCAAGTATAAGAGTCCTTCTGCAGTGCTGAGACGGACATGCTCCGCAACATTTCCGATGCCTGGAGCCATCGGAGTGCCTTTTGAAAGGCAGATAGGACAGAGTTATACGTCAGAGCCGATGCCTTCAGTCGTTCACTTCCGATGCCTTGAAGAGAACCGAGGGCAAAGCGCCACTGAGGGGCCTCAAAGGTGGTCATGGCTGCATGGTAGGTGACAAGCGAAGCACGGAGCGAAGCATGGAGGGTCATTGATAGGCCCATCAGGCTTGAGGCGCGCTGCCACTTGCCCGTGCATCTGCTGATGGCGGAATCATAGCTGACCACGTCTAGTTGCAGCGCGTACCATGACATGGCTGCTACTACTTCCAGCGCTCTTTGCCAGCTGACCCGTCCACAGGAGATGGCACAGTTCCAGGCAACCACGTCCGCACGGAGGGAATCGGTCCGCATCTGCCCCAGCAGGAACCATGACTTTCTCCACTGGTCTGCTCGGCCGCTGGCATCCAGGCAGGTGGTGAAACTGATATGGTCTGGTTGCACCAGACTGCACCGCATTTCCTTCAAGGCACTCTGTCCCAGCTCCCAGTTGCCCACCTTGCTCCAGGAAGACAGCATGCTGTTGAATGCAACTCCTTCTTTGTCGCTGTCCCTGAACAGGTTGGCGCTCCGCTGCCACAGAGGCCCTACCGCTGCCATTGCAGCATTCTGGCTGACGGCATCGGCACCCACAAGATGCACCGACATTCGGAGCAGCAAGTGCAAGGCAGACTGCCACAGAGGCCCCTGGCAAGTCGAGATGGCGGTGTTGTAGTGGTAGACATTGGCTTCGATCGTCGCTGCGCGCATAGAAAGAAGCACGTCTGATAAGTCTGCTCCATGCCGAGCCAGCCTCTTCAGCGCCGCAGTCACGGCACGGGGATGGTCTCCCAGGTCCAGTCCGCAAGTGTAATTTCGCACGTCAGTGGACATCTCGACACTCCGGGTGGCCAGGTACTGAGCTCGCGAGAGCTTCAGAGCTGTCAGGGCCTCATTGCCTTGACTGCCTTGCGCAAGGAAAGTGACCTCCGTGTTGTTAACCAGGCGGCCAGTGCAGACGCATGGCGCAATCGTCGCATGAGCTTCCGCACATTGCGTCAGCACAAGGCATGGTCCCCTGCTGGCAGCGGCATGTAGAGGTTCGAGCCGACTCTTGAGACCGAGCAGTGCATGGAAGATCTGAGCACGAGTTGCTGCTGGTCGCTTGTCTCTCTTCTTTTCCTGCTCAGCTGCGAACACAAGTGCCAGGGTGGCAGGGAGGCGGATGGCGCTGACCTCACTTCCCCGCCCTTCCATCCCGTCTCTGCCCTTTCCCTTCCCCTTCTTCCCCTGCCTGGCTGCCCTTTGGGAGCAGGGCCGCACCACCTTCGGTGTACATTCTCCATCGGCGATGCAAGAAACGTACCAAAGAAGCTCGTGCCTGTGCCACCTGAAGACAGTCCTGCAGATCCGGCGGCAGTGCGTCACGGGCCTCTGAGACTCGCAAAAGGGGAGGCACTATAGCCGCACTAGCCCATGCCTAGCTCAGAGGCTCAGAGGCCCACCTCGAACTCTTCTCCGTGCAAGGCTTGCGAGCGGAAGGAGAGATGGTACCTGTGACATCTGCACGACTTGTTTGCTTGATGCCTTCACAGCCTCACAGCCGACCGTCTGGACGCACCGGTGCAAAAATATCCGCTGGCACCAACCCTGATCACCAGAGTAGGTCTCGGCTGTGGAGTACAGACCTTACCGTAGCAGTGCTGCTTCCAAGGAGCTGTGCAACGGGTTTGCTGCCTGCATCTGAGCCACCATCGCTGACAGTCGCATGACCCACATGAGCCGTGTGAACTCGGATCTGATGTTTCCGCCCCGTTCCAATCCGTATAGCCATGAAGGAGAGCGCACGTCCCATGTGCATCGAGTGCAGTAAGACCTTGAGGTGTGTCTGGGAGTTCTCGCCGGCAGTCACACGGCTTGGGGAGTCCTTTTTGGAACCGGTATCAGCCCAGGCAACTGAAGCACGAATCATCCCACGGTCACTGCACCAGCCGTGTGACTGGACAGCATAGTCCCGGGTTAACATACCCGCGGACAATTGAAATTGAAGATCGTAGTAAGCGGAGAAAGTGGAGGCGACGAGGATCATCCCGGAGCTTGGCACATCCAAACGATGCAGGAAGCCTCTTTGGTGGGACTCGTCGTAGTGAATTGGCCTGTTGCAGAGCTTCTGCACATACCTGGAAAGCGGCAGACCCGAAGCGTCCCCAGACTCATCGACCTCGACACAAGTTGAATAGCTGCGACAGCAGTACATCAAACAAGACACTCACGACTCACGCCTGCCATCCAGGTGGTTTGTGCACCACCAGCCCTTAGATTCCCCGAGGTCCAAGACAAAAGCGAAGCAAAGGACGGAGAGCTGCCAAGCATCGGTCGGGGAATTGAAGCACGACTCGAGGCGCCTGCATCTCCGAAGCCAGTGGGTCAAGGCGTCCAGTCGAGGCCGAGGACGAGGACGAGGACGAGGGCAGGTGGGCCATGCTATCAAGTCTGCGTGCCACACGCTGGAGGGCTTTCCAAACTGCAGGGAGGCTGCGGGGCTGTAGGCAGCCCACAAAGCTTGAGGCCCAAAGTACTTCCAGCATATCGGTGCTGGAACTGATTGCCTCTCTGCCTCTGAGGACGGTCACGCGGCTGGCAAGCTCCCTTTGTAAAGCATAGAAAACCTCGCACAGCGAGGTTTGTGACCTCAACGGCGCCGAGGCAAAAGACCAGGACAAGGTCGCCAGCGCCCGCAGCGGCAGCCGCCGCTCCTCCCGGCTCCCTCGTGGCCTCTCCCTCTCTAGAAGCCGCTCTCCACCCTGCCCGCAACCGCTTTCAAGAAGGCTTAGCAGATCTTCAGCATGATGCTCTGTCCTCTCGCCTCTGCAGCCGAGCTTGGACCTCTCGGAACAAAGCATCCCAGGTGCGCCGCGTGTCTCCCGAGGAGGCCGTCGACCATGCAAGGATGCTGAGCTCCTCCAGGGCGGGGGCGCGACAACGTCGGCGAAGCGAAGCCGATTCCCCAAAGCTCCTGCAAGCTGAGGCCCTGGAGCTGATCCTCGGAGAGCTCAGGAAGAATCTGCAGCTCGCCGCCGTGTCGTTGGATCCGGCTTGACCTGTAAGGACATAAAGATCGTAGATGATCGTTGTGTCGTTATGTGTCGTTTTTTTGCGCATATAGGACAATGCTCTGACGGCCTCCAGGCTGCTTGCACCGCCTCCGAAGCGGAGAGTGCGCTGTCGAAAGAGCTGACAGAGCTCACAGCTCCGCCCGCTGGAGTCGATGGATCCACCAGCAGGAGTAGTGCCACAGGCCACCTTTCCCCAGGTAAAGAACAAGCAATTCTAGGAGTCGGCTCCTTTCAGGGAAGCTGCTGATCTTGGTTCTCCGATGCGCTGATCGCCTTGGCCCAGCCATGGAATCGCTGGTGACATGTCCTTCAAAGGAGTCTCGTTGCGTGGCTTGGCTGGGCCAGCTTGGCCCATGGCTGCCCTGTAACAGATCTCGTTCGTCTCCATGCCTTGCTGCGCCATCCATCCTGAAACAGCAAACCAGAACGCACTGCGAATGGCCTGGACATGGTGTGTCGGTGTGTGTG